TGTCTGGAACGATTTGGTGCTATCTTGATAGATTTGTTCCCTAGGTACAAAACGTCCTAGAAGGGGTAAATCTTACTTAAGGCTTGACAGACAGCTACTGGATCGCACATGTACATTGTGGCATTGTGTTGTTGACCGTTGAGCGTGGTCTGAAGAGTGACCGAGGCGCAGTCACCGTTACAGGACATGTACCTAAAGTAAAGTGGTTACGGTAAAAAAAAATGTGCAAAGCATATACCCGTGAGATGCGGTGGGCGTGTCTACGTACCTCATTCGAAGGTGGTGCCGGCTGCGCTTCTGTTGGGACACTTTTACGTCGAGACAACTGTTCAGTTGTTCGGGTTGGAGGGGTCATTCCGCATTTTCACTAGTTCCTCTTGTCTATGTCAACTAAAAGGTTAGCACTTGTGAACTCTTGGTGGGAAACTGCTAAATGATATGAAGCGAGCCACTTGGGTTACTGGTACTTACAGGTCCTCACAAAGTGCCTTGTTCGAACCTTGATGAGTACCATTTGGTGCGCCCACCAAGCAACTACGCCCATTTCCTTGGTCAACATCCTGCACTATTTTGAAGGAAGATACGCAGCCACACCCACCGAGGACACAGCCACGCCCACCGTCTCTTGGAGATGTAGGGTGTAATTTCAAACATACCCAGCCTTGGTAATCGGGTTTCCATTTACATACACTCCACTCCAGCATGATATCGGGAAATCGCTTCCTGAAGGGGCTGTGGGTGGGATGATCATCTAAACAAAGATGGCAATTTTAAGCAAGGTAATCGATATCGATCGATAAGGCAATGCGTACACTGTAGTTAGCGACGTTACAGTTGTTGGCATTGTCACAACAACATCCAGTGACTTCACGATCTCCTGGCAGCGAGGTACAGGCGTTGTCGATTTCGAGACTTCTGGAATGTTCGATACAGTAATGCACTTTCTACCGTACCATTGGCGATGGCGTCATAGAAATAAGAGGTAAGTACTCACTTGCATACGCTCAAGGGAGCACATTGGAACGTGGTGACCGTATCTCCGTTGACGATTCCTTGAAGGCTCGAGCACTGGCCATCACAGGCTATCTGAACAGGAATGTTGCCATGAAGGCCCTGGCATTGCTTTTATTAACTCTTTTTATTATTTGTATATTACTTACTGGCTGCATCTTTTTACTATTTGTGCATTACTTACTGATTGCCGTATACTGTGCCGTAGTAGATTAGGCTGGATGAGATAGTGTTCATTTTAAGGAGACGTAGAAGGTCAGAGAACGGAACAGGGTGGTGCCATCTTCTAGCCTTCTCTCTCTCTCTCTCTCTCTCTCTCTCTCTCTCTCTCTC